GGTGGTGAGTTATATTGAGTAGTATAAAAGAAATATAATTATAAATACAAATGTCATGTATGCATCAGTGTACATTCTGAAACAACCGTTTATTGCGAATGATAATAGTAGAAAACGGTGTCAGTTGAATCTGATAATGAGTAAACAAATATCAATGAACTAAATTGAGGACTGTTCATACAAAAGTCATGTGTTAACATTTTGCCAAAGAATATTGAATGTATTGTCAGGAAAAAATAGTTTCCTAAGTGTTTTTTTTAAAGGGTATGGTTGATTTCAGTTGAGATCATAAAACAAATAAATTGACGTCAGTCAGAGAGTACTGACTGGACAGCTGTTTCCTACTAGTTTGGAATTTCATAACTGTATAAAAATGTGAATAAGGCATTAAGAAGACAAATTTCGCGAGATGATATCATAAAATCGCCAAATGGATTACAGAGGTCCTTACGCCTGTAAGAGACTCATTATCAAATCATTCTGTAAAAAGTTCATTTGATCTTACAAAAATGCTAGACACCTTGAACATTAAGGAAAAGGTTATGTGTTCAACTGACATAGAATCTTTATTCACCAATGTTCCCCTTTATGAAACTGTTGATTTCATTTGCGACTACATGACAAGCAACTGGATAAACTTACCTATTCCTGCAACGTACATCAAAGACATCATCTTAATGTGTACAGAAAATATTAGATTCACATTCCAAGGAAAAGCATACAAACAAATCGGCGGTGTTGCAATGGGAAGCCCTCTGGGGCCCCTGTTAGCAGATATATTTATGTCGAAATTAGAGAAACAAATGCAAGGTATGCTTGGAGAATTTATGCTGTACAAACGTTATGTAGATGATACTCTTATCATTGATAATAATAGCAAATCTATTGAAAACTTTATCACCCTATTTAATCAAATTCATCCAAATTTTCGAGTGATCTCCGAACTAGAATCCAATAACAAACTCGGTTTCCTGGATATTACTATGACTAGGAGAAATGATGGAACGATTCAGAGCTCTATTTTTCGTAAACAGACTTGGAGTGGACAATATCTTCATTTTACCAGTTTTGTTCCTATCCAGTATAAACGTTCCCTGGTGAAATGTTTGTTCTCAAGGGCTCGAAAAATATGTAAGAGTGACACATTGATGGATGAGCTTAGATATATGCATTCAGTTTCACTAGCCAATGGTTATCCAGAAAACTTCATCAATTGTCACGGTAAGGATAGACCACATCTTGAAAAGACAGCTTCTGTACCAAAGAAAGCCATCTTTATTAATCTACCATTCAAGGGCGACCAGATTATGCAGTTGACAGCTCAAAGACTTCGGTCAGCCATCAAACGCACATTCTACGCCGCATCTCTTTTTCTCACTTGCCGAACATTTTCGATCCCTGTACCTACGATTAAAGGACGAAATTCTGTGGACTCTACTTCAAACTGTATCTACAAGTTCACCTGCAGCTGCGGTGACACCTATATAGGTAGAACTAACAGAATGTTCCAATGTCGTCGAAAAGAACATGTTCCGAAATGGCTAGTAAATCATATCGAAAATCCTAACGCGATTAATCTTAATAGGAATCCAGCATCATCCATTGCAAAGCACTTATTAATGTCAGGTCAATAAATCAATACTAATGACTGTTTCACAATTATTTCACATAACTCTAATTCAAGATTATTGAAGGTGATGGAAGCACTTTGGATTAATCACATACAGCCTAAACTGTGTGTACAAAAATCAATAGACTTCAATCTTCACCTACCCTGGACTACATGACCTATCTAAATATGATTGGTCATTAGTATGTACTTTTGTTTTTATTTAACTGAGTAATTTTCATGAACTTTATTTTATTATTGTTAACCATGTTAGTTGTAAAGAAACTACGAAATGATATCATCTCGCGAAATTTGTCTTCTTAATGCCTTATTCAAATTTATCAAAGGGACTAATTGTTTTAATGTATAAAAATGTGCCATTTTATTAATGAAGAGGGTGAGACGGAAATTATTTGAAACTATTTCTAAGGGGAACGAAATTAGGAAGCCATATAAATAGGCTGGACATTTCTATATATCAACAGACAGAAAAGGTTTGTGTAATAAAACCTGCGTCGGTGGTACAGCGGTTAGCACCCTCGCCAAACAGGCATATGGTCCGGGGTCCGATCACCGGCCGGCGCACTCCTTTACCTCAATGAGCCAGAAATAATGCTGGTAAAGAGGAAAGGTTGGGCATGAGGCTAGCAACCCCATCCTGTAAAAATTAAACACTGCTACAGAAACTTCGAGCCACTAGCTTGGAGCCCTATGTTCCACTGGGAACGTGAAGGAAAAATTTATTTAAAATTTTAATAAAACCTGCAGTTTGATAGCATCATCCATATTGCCTAATTCATCCATCATTTGAGCAAATGGAACAAATTTTTCATGAATCAGTTTTATGTATGCGCTGATCGTACAAACTGTGATTCAAGCCCAGTACCTCTTGTCTAAGAGTCGAATGTGCAGCCAGTGCGTATCATCTCTACTCTATTTTAACCAATATGCTTTTAAATACCTAATGAGCCATATGAAAAAGAGAAGACGTTCAGCGAAGAGACTCTTTTAGGCGATTTCATTCACATAGCTGTACAATCGCATTTGTGTATAATTATTTGTGTGTGTGTGTGTGTACATCAGGTTTGTCAAGTTTAGATAATTGATCAGGTAATACAAGAATGATCTATTATAGAAACGAGGTTAATCAGATAGCCACTAAAGTAAGATTGAGTTAGTAAGTTAGATGACGTAAAATAATTGACTCAAATGTTCCAACTTAGGTCAGGGTGTGGTGAGAGCAGGCGGCTAGCCGATTGGTTGGCACTAATCTACGTTAAGGTCTAGGTCACTAATATGGGCCGTGAGAAAATATGAACAAGCCTGAGTCAACAACCAATCACAGCAAAGTTAACGTGGCAAAATATGATTCGCAGAGAGAACTCTATTTGTCAAGGAATCCCGAAACAACCAATCAGAAGCCTGCGTTTGTCTACCTAAAAACAACCAATCAGATGACTGCGCTTGTCTATAATAATGTAGTTGAAAGATGTATAAATACGTGTTGATTTTCATAATAAAACGATCTGTTGCCTGGCCCTTGTCTTCTGTTGTTACAAGGGTAGCAACAGAGGTAATTACAGGTAGAGAGAGACTAAGTAGAAGTGTGGTAGAGAATAATGCCATTTAAATTAGGACTGAAATTGAGCAAATAAGTTGCATAACGTAGCAAAAATGCCTAGAAATTGAAAGTTGGTCAAGTCAGTAACAGTGGTAGTGAGGTTAAGAAATTAAATTTGGTGGGAGTGGAGAACAAGAAAGTTAATAATGTAAAATATCACAATTGAGAAGACAAAATAGTACTAATGAAAACTCAGACAAAAAAAGATTAGGTAGAATTTACTTGTCGGGTAAAAAGATAGATTAATTTCATTGCAAGTGTAGTGATTGAACAAACTTCTTCTGTATGCAGAGTTCAGGGCTTAGCAAGTGAATCGCCATTGCTTCTGCAGTTTAAAGAAGTCCGATTCGTACAATTTTAGGAAGACTACTTCTTACTCTGTAGATGACATTGAGGTTTGTTTGCGGTGTAGCTTGGTGTCCGGACTCTATCAAATGTTCTAAGAAGGAGCTGCGGGGGCATCGTTTTTCTCCTTTGTAAAACCATGTTGGTAAGTGTTCGGTAATACGTTTCGAAAGCGAACGCTGGGTACGGCCGACATACCTGGCTCCAGACGAGCAGGTAAATTGATAAATACACATTGATGAGGCCAGCGGCAGTAGGTAATCCTTCACGTTCACATGAATCATAGGTTTTGTGGGGAAAGTTAGTCGTAGTTCAGCTGCGAAGAAGGTTTTCTTGAGTGAGCGCGACAGTCGATTTTTTAGTGTTTCCGCAGATATATCCCCACCGAATTGAAGGTTCATGTAGAGTAGTTTTTTCGGGACGCTAAGCATTGGCGGCTTTTGTGGTTAAGGATTCATAGTTTTAGCAACAAATCTTTCTGGATAACAATTCTCGACGAGGATTCTCTTGAGATTGTCCAGTTCATTCTCTATGGTGTCCGGGGTGAAAATTCTGCGAACTTTGTAGCTGAGTGAACGGATCAGGATTCGTTTGGTGTATAGGTGTATATGCTTTTCGAAAACTCACAAAAGGCTAAGTGTTCTAGTACATGATTGATTTTCAGTACTAGGGGCACTACTTGACTTTCACTTCCATTTCTGGTCTTTTGAATCCATATCATAGTTCGGTTAAGTTCCCATTGGGGCTTTAAGCTTCAGGCTTCAATGTTTCAGCAGCGTTTGTGTTCTTTTCATATGGTGAGGTTGCTAGCCTCACACAAAAACTTCCCACTTTTACGAGTGTACTACCTACTGTGCATAATTGAGAAGCCTCTCCACTCAGAATAGAAACTGAAATACACTCATGGCTGGTGTGTATTATTCCTGCAGCAGCCACTGACTTATTCTGAGTAATGCCTGTCTACAGCCACACTGAACCTCCCCGCCATCCAGCACACACCCGAATGAGATATAGACACAGGTCCTCCTTCCTTAATTGAGGTTTCTAAAGCTGTCACCAATCTGAAACTAGGCAAAGCAGCGGGACCTGATGGAGACAGTTTACTGTCTGCATTAACTGAGGTACTAGTGTGGTGAGAGCAGGCTGCTAGCCGATTGGTTGGCACTAATCTACGTTAAGGTCTAGGTCACTAATATGGGCCGTGAGAAAATATGAACAAGCCTGAGTCAACAACCAATCACAGCAAAGTTAACGTGGCAAAATGTGATTCGCAGAGAGAACTCTATTTGTCAAGGAATCCCGAAACAACCAATCAGAAGCCTGCGTTTGTCTACCTAAAACAACCAATCAGATGACTGCGCTTGTCTATAATAATGTAGTTGAAATATGTATAAATACGTGTTGATTTTCATAATAAAACGATCTGTTGCCTGGCCCTTGTCTTCTGTTGTTACATTTGGTGTCGCTGCCTACCGACAAATGAAAAGCCTATACCCTGCAGTTTTTGATGGAGACATATGGATCTTCGGGCAGGACTTCAAGGCTTCTGCGCAGTTGAGTGGCGTTCAAGATCTGTCAGCGATGGAGCTGCTACTTGAGACGCTGCTGGGAGGTCGGGCGAAAGCAGCATATGAAGGTGTGGGCCGAAGTATGGACGAATGTTCGACAGGGTCAGGCAAACAGTTTCCAAAGTGGGAAGGACCATATATGGTCACTTCGAGATGGGGTTACGCAGACACAGTCACAATGGCGAACAATGAGAGGCGCGTGAACGTCAGCGAGCTCCAGAAATGGATACAGCGAGACAAGCCAACGATGACGCCTGCACCAAGTAGATCAAGCCGACTTCAGTCGCACGTATTTGACGGGGGGACGAGTGTGGTGAGAGCAGGCGGCTAGCCGATTGGTTGGCACTAATCTACGTTAAGGTCTAGGTCACTAATATGGGCCGTGAGAAAATATGAACAAGCCTGAGTCAACAACCAATCACAGCAAAGTTAACGTGGCAAAATGTGATTCGCAGATAGAGAACTCTATTTGTCAAGGAATCCCGAAACAACCAATCAGAAGCCTGCGTTTGTCTACCTAAAACAACCAATCAGATGACTGCGCTTGTCTATAATAATGTAGTTGAAATATGTATAAATACGTGTTGATTTTCATAATAAAACGATCTGTTGCCTGGCCCTTGTCTTCTGTTGTTACACTAGGCAGCGTCTGGGAATCAGAAGAAGTCCCATCGGGTTGGTGTAAGTCACTGATTATCCCCATATACAAGAAGGGAGACAAGTCTTCCTGTGATAATCACAGAGGGATTAGCTTGACTAATATAGTATCTAAAGTCTTAGGCTCAATAATCATGCGTAGACTGAGTGGTGCTCGGGAAGCACAAACACGAGAGAGCCAGGCAGGCTTTAGACCAGGAAGAGGGTGTATTGATCATATCTTCACCCTCCGACAGATTCTAGAACATAGTCATTCCTACCGGCGTCCGACAGTCATTATATTTCTTGACCTAAGGGCAGCATTTGACTCTGTCGATAGAGAAGTTCTCTGGAGATGCTTGGCTGTAAAGGGAATGGCGAGAAAATATATCGCACTGATTAAGGCACTCTACTCGTACTCATACAGCCAGGTGAGGGCATACGGCGAGTTGTCATCTGAACTGGTGACGACTAGTGGTCTCCGTCAAGGATGCCCATTATCCCCATTTCTATTCAACTTCATCATAGATGTACTAATGGACTTAACCCTAAGTGACTTCAGCGACTCAGGGATTGACTTGCTACCGGGGAATAATCTCGTTGACTTAGAATATGCAGACGATATAGTCCTTCTAGGCGAAGACGCTGACAAAATGCAGAGTCTTCTAAACACCTTGAACAGCAATCTACGAATGTTTGGCATGCGATTCGCTCCCGCTAAATGCAAGATGATGTTACAAGACTTGACTGCTGCGACTCCTTGATTAGAAATAGGGAGTGAAGTGGTAGAGCACGTTGACCGCTTCACTTATTTGGGAAGTACCATCAGCCAACACCAACGGGTTGATCTCTGACGAAATCTCGGCACGAATACAGGGGGCTCGTTTCGCATTTGCCAGTCTACGCCGTCTCTGACCTAGACGAGATATTCAACTGTCGACCAAAGGGCGGGTGTAATGCTCATCAGTCCACTCCGTCCTCCTTTATGACTGTGAGACCTGGCCACTGAGAGTGCAAGACATGAAAAGATTAGCTGTCTTTGATCAAAGGTGCCTGCGTTCTATCTCCCGTGTGAAGTGGCATTATAAGGTGAGCAATATTTAGGTTAGGCATCGAGTGCTAGGTGAGGAGGGGAAATCAATCGACGAAGTTGTGAAGTTACAAAGACTGAGATGGTTAGGACATGTGTTACGTATGCCTAGTCATTGCCTCCCTCGACGAGCAATGTTTGCGGATATAAAGTCAGGCTGGAAAAGAGCTAGCTAGTGGTGGTCAAACCAAAACATGGCTTCACCAGTGAATGAAATCCACAACAGTTAGTTTAAGCCACGTGGGAAGGTGTAGACTGGCTTCCTGGTTGGGGTCCTCGGGACGGTAAAAACCAATGGCTGGCGACAATTGGTGATGTGTCTGAAAATCGTTCTCAATGGCTGGTTGGCGCAGATGCATCCACTCCCTGTGACTTCTGATTTCCAATGAAACTATATTGTTCTTCGTTACTACTATTCCTTCGTCTCACACCTCTGTTCACTGTCACCATTATGCCTTTCTTGTACTTTCTTCTCTTACTTTGTGTGCTACATGAAGTGTGGCGACTTGAACTGCCGCACGTGTGTGCAAAGTTCTATGTCGAAAACACACAGACAGACAATGCCGATAAATCTGAACAATATACTTTCTAATATCGACTGGGAGAGAGATTTACATTCAAACAGGCGAAGCCTGTGTATCAAAGGGACTAAAATTCATTGGTCGCTACTTGCCGACCCTTGTTACCATCTCAGTCGTAATCATACGCCACTTAGTATTATTAACTGAAATAAGATAGTCACTTGGATGAAGAAGAAAAGTAATGTGGAGCCATACTGTCATCAGAAAGAATATCAGGAGTTATTCTATAACTAACATTTTCAAATTATTTCCTGCAATTTTTCTATTACTTTACATTCCCAGTGGAACGAACATAGGGGGCCTCAAGCTAGTGACAGCTTTGAAGTTTCAGTAGCAGCGGTGTTTATTCCTTTAACAGGATGGAGTTGCTAGCCTCATGTGCCCAACCTTCCCTCTTTTAGCCAGTCTTATTACTGGCTTAGCGAAATGAGGTAAAGGAGACGTGGTTGACGCGTATTCAACCACTGTGCCACCGACGCAATATTTACAGCAATAATTCATGAATAGATATGTGTGTTGATTCATTAAACAGAGATAAAAGACTATGGATAAGTGGATCCATACATACAAAATCAGCTTACACTTAATTCTAGGCATTAGAAGATATGTTGTTAACAACAAAAGAACTCCAAAATATTTAGTACATTCTGAATAATTGTAGAATGAAAGAATTATCTCCAGCCGCCGGGGGTTGGGAAGCTTTGCAGTCAATTCTTAGCCGATGCACTCCAAGTTAACTTCACATTATGTTGGCTAGCTGACGGTAAATCCAGAAAAAGAGAGGAAGTTTAGCGTGAGGCTAGCAACCTTAGACCTCAGAGACAACATCACAGATACTGGAATTTCAGAAAAACTTGAAGCTCTATCTCCCAATCAAAAAGCAACAGGATTCGAAAATAGAAATAATGATAAATACTCTTTATTTTTGTTCTAGTTTGAAATTCATTATCCAACAGTATGCGCTTATAAAACCCACAAGGACCAGTTATGTAACCTACCCTTGTATGAACAGGTGGAGTAGTAACCGTGAAAAAGGTGATAACTGGCGCACCATACAAAATAATCTAGTTAATAATATTTACTCTGCTATACTAATATTTGTTTCCTAATTTTGCCGTGTTAACGCAAACACTGATAATGAAAATTCTATTCTATTGAGTCCAAAATATTTTTCCCTTAACTTCGCAGAATTCTATGCCAATTATATGCGAAATTATTATATTTTGGAGTCTTGAAACTTACGCTCAACTGAACTGATTTATCCCCTTATACCGCTTGTAGGCCAGTCACAACATAAATGATATTTAATAAATGGTGAAGTAACAAGTTGATGAGACATAAGATTGAAAAGGACGAGACTGTGCATCGATGGTCGATGCCATTAAGTTTGGTTATTCAAATGAGTAAATTAAGTAGAATTTTATAATTTCATCCTGTGTACACACACAAACTGGTCAGATGTGTAAATGACCTTCATCAAGTTAATTTGATAGATCAGTCAGAAGAAAGACCTTTAATTTGGGGGCAGTGTGGAAGGAAGACACTTTTTACAAATACATCAGAAACAGTTAGTGACTGATTGGTGACGAAAGTGTCTAACATAGTTTTTTCGGTTGGATTCAGTCGATGGTGACTGGGTGAGAAATGAAAATTTTGGTCTGTATACATAGTTTGGGATTCTTCAACAGTAAGTAACTATTACCTCAACGGTGATTCAGCTAACCAACCTTTCCTTTACAGTAGGAGCCTATTGAGAAATCAGCCACTCGGACTGAATTCAATTCCCGATGACAGACATCTTCTGATACTCACTAGTGGATGTCTAGAGGACGGGGTATCCGGGCTTCTAATGAGATATGATGACCAGTGGAGCCGACCTTGTCGGGTTTATTGGGAGATACCTACCTATTATATTGACAACCACCTGCTCTCTCTATATAAAACAAACTGATGGAGGTTGAAATTCACTGCCCATTATATTCGGTCTCAGTGGCTGAATGACCAATGAACACAGATGGTAACATAAAAGTTTCCGGTCCTGTCCATTTTGGTGTTATAAGGAGCGGGTTTTAGAAATGGGACAAAATACCATTGCTCATTGGATTTCGATGGTTCAAATCCCTCCAAACCAAAACTTCAAGTATATGCCCACTTCGATTTCACTTAGAAATAAGAAGTTGATTAAACATAAGATAGAAAAAGGAAAAACACTGCATTCACGGTTGACGTCAGTACATCTAGCTACATGAATTATGTCAACTACACAGTATTGCGATTTCGTCCTGTTTCACTAAATGTTTTACCATGTATAAATGCTAATGATGAAATAAAAATGGAAAATTTATAAAATGGCCTGATTTGCTGACAAAGCGAAGAGTAGTGAAACCAATTCTAACGAAATACACCTGTCGCCTTCACCATAAAAAACTAGCCATGCAATTCATCAAAGTTTTTATTCAATTTATCCAAATGTAACTATTAGTGATTTGATTTCATCACTAAGAAACGATATTGACTGTTTAAAACAGATAAGTGTGGTTTCAATTGTGAAGGCATTTGTTGAAAAGTGAAATTGGGTGTTGAAGGGAAGCCACAAGAAGGATAGAACAAATAGGTTAAATGACATTTGATTAGCATCGTCGCCGAATTCTTCTGTGTCATCAGTCTATTCACTTAACTATTCTGTAGAGGTAATAGGAATTGTTGAAAACGAAGAGGAAGTTACTTCCCAGTAAATCGATGGTCATTGTAGGCAGAAAAGTCTGTTTATTCATTTATTCACTGACTCACTCATTCATACATTCGTTTACCTCGGTCATTGGAACAATGGATCCTCTGAATTGTAGGAGAATCACACTGGGTTCCATATGTTTTCCTTTCCATGGTTCGAATAACAGTGGAATTGACTATGCTGCAGTGATTCTCTCTCCCTCTCTTCCTACACCACCGTTGGGTACTGTCAATGATGGTGTGGTGATGTCAGCTCAGTAACACTTCAGTTGCACAGTTCACGTGATAACACTTAGAATACCTGTGAATCCAAAACTCACGCTGTCTAATAAGCTTCAAACTGATTAACCACCTGCTTAACAATGGCGAATAAATTCATCCATCAATTCAGTGTTACTGTTGAATCCTCTGTTGAATTCATCCTCACATCTACATTTGTAATTGATAACTTAATATTTTTCAATACAGTCACTATCATTTGCTGTGATAGTGATAGATTTTCTGATGACTAGATACAATCTCAGATCAACTCTTTAGTTTGATTACGAGTGAACA